AATATTTGCGAATACATAAAAGAAGGTTCTAGCTGATCTAGATTCTTACTAGAACCTCCTGCATTCACACTAACAATGCTCACCGACATATGATCTTGATTGCATTGTTTGGTTGCTATGGCCAATTTTTCACAAATATGTTTGATTGTTGTGTGAACACCTTTGATTTTTGCCCAATTTTGGGCCCATACTTGATGCTGTTCTTTCTTACGACAAAATATGAATATAGCATTCAATTTTGTCATGCCGTGGATGCTTGGTACAAGATGTTGTCCAAGTGCACCTGAGGAGATAACAAATGATATCTCTTCAGGATTTTCATTCAGCTGTTGAATACATTCTTCAGCTGTTGTACACAGACTGACTTGGTTCACGACGCTACGCAGTTGGTCCATTGTATTTTGGTAATCTTTATTGGTCAAATCCATATTTCCATCAACCCAAATAACCATGTAGTTTTCAGGAAAGCGTCGTCTTGGTTGTTGACTCATTTTTTATGTGATATTTTGTGTGCGATAGGTAATTGCGTGTCTTAAATAATAAATGGCTGTTTGGACAAAGTTTACCTTTTGTATTTATACATTTGATGCACGTTGTTTTTTTCCGGATTTTTCTCTGACGTCAAATATGAATATTGTGTTTTTTCGTTGACACTCAATAACAAAATATGCCTATTAGTAATTGAAGGTACGCTTATCAAAAATAAATTAAAGGGAAAAAAACCCACAACATCATTGATCGTATGATATTTTTTTCCCACTTTCATTTACGTGTCATATGAAGCGTGACTGGAGTTTCATTGCATTAGATACCTTGTCTTATACGTTGTATAATTTTGTTTCGTTCTCTCCAACAAGAACGACAACGACAGCAAGGACAGCGTTAGTGTGATTATTTTTTCTCATTATACATATGATTGACATGCTGATAATGTAAACGAAACAAGAAAAAATATAATTTCAATTTTAATTGAGGCAATAGTTAAATAACGATTTCTACTGGCCAAATAGACTGTTATTGAAATTTAAAAATTATGAAACATCGAAGTAATTATCACCAATTTCAAAATGAATGGAACATTTAAATGTAGATTTTACATATTAGTATAACAATAAACAAGCAAAAGTTTTATATCAGTTATCATCCAAATTGCATCTAGAAACACCCAAAAACTTAAGTTTTGTCATGTGTAGAATGAATTGATCGTCACTCACAATCTTGCTAGAGTAATTCTTGATTTTTATTCATTCGTATTATATGTATAATAAAAAGAAATTTTGTTTTCTTGTACTATATTAGCTGCTCTTCTTTTATTAATTTCTACGATTCATCAAGAAATCATATTCAATTTTTTTTTTGTTTGCATATAGTTGGCAAATAATGAGAAGAATCACTCATAGTTTCTTAGCTAAAACTGGTGAAGATATTGAAGACATGAATCTTTCTTACTTTCGAAATTCAAAAATAAAAAAAAACACGATAATTGAATCGTATGCTTGATGTATTTGTTTGAATAGAGAAAGATGATATCATCAATACTTAATTTGATCATTATATTTGTTTTTAACTTACATAAATTTGACACTCATTACTAAGCTCATATCAGAATTGATAAAAAACTTGCCAACAGTGAATTAATAGTAATATTGCATTGCTATTTTCTACACAGAGTATTGAAAAAATGTAGTAAAAGTTTTAAATGTAAAAATAATACAGATAATATCAATACACTTGTGATATCGCGACATGCTACTTTTTCATATATTTCTAAGTTTTTTATTTATTTGACTGATACACATTTTGATTCCTAACCAACAATAACTGATTAAAAGAAATTAAAACAACAAAAATTGTGATACTATGCACAACGACTAAATAAATTCATATAAACATAACCATGAGAACTAATAACTGGTATCTTTCTGTTGGATAGATATACAAAACTAATCATTCATATTTGACTCTGTAAAATTTTATTCCAATATAATTTTATCTATCAAGATAATTTATGAAATCATCTCAATTTATATCAATATAGGTAAATAATATGTATCGATAATAACCTTTTTATTTGAGATATACCATGATTTTTCTATTCGCATTAGGAATGAGAAGTAAAAAGATATTTACAACGATCAGTCTAAAAACAAACAATAACCTTGATGAAAAATTGAATAAAAGAACTATTTTTTACGTTCTTTACAGATTTGTTTTTCTAGTGATCTGACGAGCAAATTGACCTTTTCGAATGTACAACATCGTCTCCTTCGTCATTGTCGAAAACGCGTTATTTTTCTTCAATAGAACTGAAATATTCTCTCTTTTTTATGTTCTGTTAGAACAAAAACATTTATCTCCCGCAAAAAATCGAGATAATTACAATCTCATATTTTAGCTGCTTCGGTTTACTATCGATTTGTTTACTTTTGCGTCCTCCACAATAGATTTTGATTTTGTTTTTAAAAATGAATCTGATTCATGCAAGATTTAGAAAATAATGCTGATCTTGGATAATCATTCATATCACTGAAAAAAAAAACCAAAGACAAAAATAAGATTATTCACTAGGACTAAAACGAAATTGAACGAGTTTTCAAAATGATGATATGTTGCAATACGTGCTGATTCACTTCTAAATAAAATTTCTTTTTATTGATCAATCATTTTTCGAAAGATCAAAACATATATAAAAGGTTTATATTTTAATTTTGAGTCATGATCGAAACTATCATTTATTGCCAAACATTTAAAATAATCATATATATTCTTTTAAGGATCCTGAATCAAATGAAAATGATATTGAACATTTTTCAATTATTCGAGCAAAATATTCATCAATATTTTAAGTGATTCGAGGAACAAGTTTATTTGAAATACGAAATGCATCTTATCAATCTATAACAAATCAAACGATATTAAGGCCCCCCCCCCCCCTCCTCAGAAAAGTCAATTTCGGTTAAATTTATCGATTTTGTGATTTATAACTCGTTAGATAGAGTAAAGTGTCTACTCTCGAATGCACTATAGTTGATTGATTTTATGTTGAGATTTAAGGATATTACATACGATTTTCTGAACCTCCATATTGAAAAAATAAGTTTTTAAAAACTTATTTTCCGTTTTTCTCACAATCACTTTTTTCGACTACATCGTTTACGCGGGCAAATCTTAGTCAATAATTACTCGATATAAAAGAGATAATGTTTTTTTTGTTGTATAGCAGACACTTAGGGCTAGGTCCTATCAGAGCCCGATTTTTGAATTTCTCCTTTGTTTAAATAAAAAGCTTAGATCTTTGATTCTTATTAGCGATTTTTTAGCCACAAATTTCAGAATTTTTGAAACAAGTTTTTTCTTAAAGCAAAGAAAGGAAAATTCAAAAATCGGGCTCTGATAGGACCTAGCCCTAGGTGTACTCTACAATTTAAAAACCAGCCCGACACGCTTAGCTCAAATCTCTACTTTGAAAACTTTGCCCGCGTCAAGGCTATTTTTAACCAATGAATTGACTATAACTCGTGAACGCCTTGCAGATTTGGGGAGATATTTTAACCATAATCTATTCTAGTCAAGACTAATATTCTCTGAAATTTTGGTTGACTTCTATCGAAAAATAAAAAGATTCGTTTGTGAGGGG